TAGAGATGCTGTGACTGGACCCAAGGCCTTGAAGAAGTAGTAGCTCTCAATTTTGGTGAACACAGGAATCGTGAGGGAAGCCTTGAACTCCCCAGTGCCCAGGCCACACTCCAGACCGTGAACTAGAATGTCTAGGAGTGGGGCCGAAGCATCGGGCATTTTCCATGTTCCTCAGGAGATCAGCATGCCTCAAGGTTGAGAATCACTCTTTGAGGTTTTCAGTGTTTTGCCATAAAGATATACAGAGTATAATTATTGTATCCACTTGCGTTTCCGCTTATTATCTTCTTTCTCCTCCTGAATATTGCCTATCTTCTTGTCTCTTATTTTTCTTTCAACAGAATTTTAAGATTTGGCTATTTAATAGATAATACCAAGAACTCTTAAATTTTAAAACTTTTTTTGGTTTTCTATTAACTTTCTTTCACATTGTTATTAATGTTCATTTATTAGTTTCTTCAGGTTTATTATTTTTCAGGGGGAGGGTAGTTATAGAGATGCTGGAGCTGTGTGGGCTCAGAATCCACAGGACCAACCACATCAAGTGGTGTTCATGCAGGATACATGCATTGCCAGGGACCAAACCCAGAACCACGCATAGGCAAGACTTGTTCTCAACCTCATGAGCCACATTCCTGGGCCCAGGTTTATTTTGTCATCTAGTAAAAATCCTTCCTCCCTTCCTCCCTCTCTTCCCTCCTCCCTCTCTTCCTCCCTCTCTTCCTCCCTCTCTTCCTCCCTTCTTCCCTCTCTTCCTCCCTCTCTTCCTCCCTCCCTCTCTTCCTCCCTCCCTCTCTCCCTCCCTTCCTTCCTTCCTTCCTTCCTTCCTTCCTTCCTTCCTTCCTTCCTTCCTTCCTTCCTCTCTCTTTCCCTCCCTCCCTCCCTCCCTCCCTCCCTTCCTCACTTCCTTCCCTACACTATAGTCAGGGTTTACTCCTAGCTTTATACTCAGGAATTAACACCTCATAGGGCTTGGGGGAACCATATATGGTGCCAAGGATTGAACCCGGGCCAGCCACATGCAAGGCAAGCACCCTACTTTCTGTACTATTTCTTTATTCCCATGTTTCTGATTTCATTTATTTTTAAATGAACTTGAAAGTGTTGCCTTTCATTACAAGTTTAGATTGTTCCATATTGCATATTAATTTTCTTTTCCAGAACTTACTTCTAGTGCTACGTGTTAGTTTTGATTTCAGTATTTATAATAGTCTATCCCATTTTATTAGTTTGGGTTCAATGTATGACCTGTACAACATCTATACTTTTTAATTTTTTAATTTTATTTTTGAGTAAGGCATACCATTTTTGTTGCAAATACAACTGAGACATATTAATATAATGTGTATTTTTCCATTTCTGGTGTAAATTTATAGATAAAACTGAGTTCCTTGTTTATAGCTTTGAATTTTCTATATCCTTGTTGACATTTGATCCTTATTAATTTTAACTTAATTTGGGGGGAGGTTGAGCCAATCAGGCAGTGCTCAGGACTTACTCCTGGCTCTGTGCTCAGGAGTCACTCTTGGTTCTGTGCTCAGGAGACTAGATGCAATTCTAGATCTGGAACCAGGGTGAGATGCATGCAGAGCAAACACTTTTTACTCTTTGCTGTCTCTCTGGTCCCTAATTTTTTTAAAAAAAACTTTAAAATTTTGATCACTTTAGAATTTATTCATAAAACAGATCCAAAGCTACCAAAGTAGACCTAAATGTAATAAAAATTTCTCCCAATTTATGTTTTTTAAAAAAATTATTGAATCACTGTGAGATACAGTTAGAAAGCTTTCATGATTGAGTTTCAGTCATACAATGATTGAACACCCATCTCTCCACTGTGAGTTTCAATAGAAAGGTGTGGGCACACACGGGACGTGAGTGTTCAGTGACTGAGAACTGCCACCCCAGGTGATAGACGGATGGACAAAGCACCGGGGATGGCGAAACAGGGCCTGGGCCCCAGGCTGGTTGGTAGTCAGTTTATTTCTCTCTCCTCCCCAGCGTAGTCTGATCTCTACCTTATAACACAGTCATAGTTGTAGTTTTGTTTGTAGATCTAGTCATCAGAGTTCCATCATCCTAGTCACCTCATATATCTCAAAGTCCTCTACCTCAATATAGCCCTTCCTCATCTCATCGTGGTCTCATAGTCTTCTCTTTCCCCTTATAGCATAGTGATATAGCAGTCATGAAGGATGGGGGTACACATAGGTGGGGTTGAACATTGTCCTAACAACCAACAGAGGTATAGCCACTTTTTCAGGGGAACTTCTCAGAGATTAACTCAAGGACAAAATCTCATCTGGGGGCTCAGCACTCCAGAATACTAGGAGATGACTCAAGGGCAGGATTCCATCTAGGGTGTATTGCTTTCTCCTTTCTTCAACTAGTAATCCATTTAACAAATCATAGTAAATTTACTTCTTATAATGTTTCTGGTCATTTTGTATGAACACAGTAATAGATATATTAAGCTTAAAGGTTGGCACTTCCTGGAGATATTTCGCTATATATCCCAGACCATAGTCCTCAGGCCAGGTTAGTCTTTCCTAACCCCAGCAAGGTCCTTATTCAGTTACTTCTTTTGGGGTCATGACAGTGTTTGTTCCATGACCGTGCTCTTAACTTATTATACTTATGGTGCTTAGCTTGTCCCCTTTCAATGCCAGGGTAGCTTACAGCTTGCCCTGGGTCTTTCCAGTCCCTCCGTTAGGACCCTGCTTTTGGAGTGCTAGGAACTAAGGGCAACTGAGGCTTAAGTCAAGTAAATACAATGGACACCCAGGAGTAAATATTATTTGGAGTCAATTAACTCCCATGTTACAAAAGCATAGCATCAATTATCTTCCTGTCCTGTGTCTATACAAAAAGGATATTACTAAACCATGCAAATGACACAAAGAAAAGAGAAAAGCAATATAGGATTATTAGTGCTTGACAGAATTGGGTTAAGCTCCCTGTGGGAGAAGCAAGGACAACCCAATGTTATCCAACACGCCACCAGTGTACATTTCCCACCACCAATGTTCTCAGTACCCTTCCAGCCACCCCACCCCACCCACCCCACCCCTTGCCTCTATGGCAGACAATTTCCTTCTCTCTTTCTACTTTGGGGTCTTATGCTTTGCAATACAGATACTGAGAGGCCATCATGTTTGGTCCTTTATTTACTTTTACCACACATCGCCCATCCCCTTCATTTTAAAAATAAACACTAAATGTTCCCACCACAAGGGTGTTTTATGCAGTTTCTTTGTATTTCAAGTGTTGTATGAATTTATGTATTTGTATTCTATGGATTTTTTGCTTTTTAGACATTTGATATATTTTCTTCATGATTAACATTTGGTCATGAATTCTGCTCTGTTTTCTATTTCAACAATCCTTTCTTATCTCTTAAATTACAAATCTCTGTCATGTTATCATAATCCATTTAGATGGCACTGCAAAATTTATTGCTACTGCTGTTTCTTGTTCGGTTTTATCTTTCCCCATTTGACGTCTCCATGCGAAAAAAATTGATTGATGTGGACCTTGTGTTTGTTCCCTCGTGCCTGCTATGTGGGTTACATTCTTTCTAAGGCCTTGACTCCCTCGTAAGATCTATTTTCACCTTGACACGTGCTAGCTTGGTTGAGGTTAAAACGTGTGGCCACAAACCTTTTTCTTCCGCAGTTTATAGATATTTCAATGCTTTACAATTTCAGTGTGTAAGAACCCTGCTGCTGCTAGTTAGATTCTTTTGTGTATGTCACCTCTTTGTTTTCAAAGGTTTGCTTGATTTTTTTTCCCACTTTATCTCTGGAATTCAGAAAATTCACTAGGATATATCTAGGGATGTCTGGCCTTTATTATTTATTGATCTCTTTCTTCCTGATAAGTCAAGTCTCTCTAAGTGAAGAAAATTTTCTTACATGTTGCATGCAATTATTACTTAATTTTACCAGCATTTTGTTTTGAGTTACTGGGCATCCCAGTGATAGTACAGTGGATAGGGCATTTGCCTCACACACGGCTGACATGGGTTTGATCCCTGGCATCCCATAGGGTCCCCAAGTACCCCAAAAGTAATTCCTGAGTGCAGAGCCAGATGTAACCCCTGAGCATCGCCAGGCATGGTCCCAAAACAAAAAGCAAAAACCAAAGAAACCAATGTGGGTGGGGGGAGAGAGGGGTGGAGGGAGAGAGGGAGGGATGGATGGATGGATGGAGGTAAGGAGGGAGGGAGAGAGACAGAGAAAGGGAGGGAGAGAGAGAGGGAGGGAGAGAGAGGGATGGAAGGAGAGAGAGAGGGAGAGGGAGAGCGAGAGGAAGAGGGAGAGAGGAAAATCTCCTGCCATAGAGGCAAGAAGGAGGTAGGGGTGGAGGTGATGGGAGGGAACCTGGGGACACTAGCATTGGGAAATTACACTGATGGAGGAATGGGTGTTGGAGTATTGTAAGACTGAGATTCAATCATGAACAGCTTTGTAATGATCTCACAGTGATTCAATAAAAAAGTTTAAAAAATATAACCAATGTCTCTTGAAGAAAGAAGAATGGTAATGTTCCTAAGTGTGTAGCTTGCCCTGATGGAGTAGCAGTATTCCCGAGTTATTTTTCTCTAGTAGAAGGAATTTCAGCAAGAACTTTCCATTGGGGAAAAAAATGGAAGCATTCTGAGTACACCCCTTTTGCCCCAACATTAGCAAAGCATAAGTAAAATTTGTGATACTTAACATAGTGCTAGAAAAGAACTCCCCATAGCTTTTTTCCTGTATGTTATAAATATTAATAAGCAAGAATGAGAGCATTATTGCAACAAGCATCCCCATGGTATCCAAATATCTTTTTTTACATTACTTAAGTTTAACATGGAATCTCAAATTTTGTTTCAAAGTGAACCAGCAAAATCTGAAAACACTAAGTTTTGATCAGGCATACAGCAATGATTGAAGATTAACATTGCTACACATTCCACCAAGTGTGATATTTTTAATTTATTCATTTTCCTTTTTTTCAATTATCTGGAATTTCCATAACCTTGCTTTGGATGTAGCAGGAAAAGACCTCAAACTGTTTCATGATTGTATCACAAGCTCTTATAGGAGTGCACAGGGTCACTTCAGATGCAAGCATGCCAGACGCTTGCAGAAAGAGCGATGTTTTTAATGTTAGGTTGAACACAATGACCACTCAATGCCTCTAGTGCAAACTACAACACCCAAAAGGAAAGAGAGAACAAAAGGGAATGTCCTGCCACAGAGGCGGGCGGGGTGGGGTGGGGTGGGGAGGATATTGGGATCTTTGGTGTGGAGAATGGGCACTGGTAGAGGGATGGGCACTCGATCATTGTATGCCTGAAAAGCAAGCACGAAAGTTTGTAAGTCTGTGACTGTACCCCACGGTGATTCACTAATAAAAAATTAGTAGCACTGTAGCATTGTCCTCCCGTTGTTAATCGATTTGCTCAAGTGGGCACCAGCAATGTCTCCATTTTGAGACTTGTTGTTACTGTTTTTGGCATATCAAATACGCCATGGGGAGCTTGCCAGGCTCTGCCGTGCAGGCGGGATATGCTCGGTAGCTTGCCGAGCTCTCTGAGAGGGACAGAGTAATCGAACCCCGGTTGACTGCATGCAAGGCAAATGCCCTACCCGCTGTACTAATAAAAAAAAGAGTGATATTTTTAGATTTTAAGAGTCACCAATTTTGTGCATGTCAAAGTATGGAACTTTGAACACAGCGCCAATTACAAATAACACTGAGTATCTTTCACATATTTATTGCTTCCTCTTTTGTCACATGCTTGTACAGTTTCAGGGGTTTTGTGTTTTTTGTTTTGTTTTGCTTTTTGGTGGGTGAGGCATTTTCTGCTTGATTACTTGCCCTCTCCTCATTGATTCATAGATATCTTTATATATTCTTGATATTAGTGCTTCATTGATTATATATTATTTAAAAATCCTTGAAAATGTCTACCTTACTCTGTTATTTCCCATTTTACTTTCCTGAGTGTGTCTTTTATGAGTGAGCATAGGGCCTCGAACCCAGGGCCTCATGTCAATTAGTCACACTACCACTGAGCAAGACTCCTAGATTCCACTATTGGATCTTTACAAGTCTGTCTGAAGTTTCACTTCTTACAAATATATGTCACCACACACCACGTGCACCACCACAGCACCTATGTCCTCCACCATGGCCTCTCGAGGCTTTCTCCTTTGCTCCCTAGTACTTCCTCTCCCAAATGTTAGGGTTTGCTGACATTTGGCTGCAGTGAGCATAGATGTGCATCTATATCTGGTGTTTCACTTTGAATTAATGCTTCTGTATTTAGAACTTCATTTTAAAGTAATAAATTGGAAATGTTATTATAACCAGTGCTCTGTGTGTTAAAGAAAGCATTTCCTTCCCTACCTAATGTAGATAGCATTTAATTTTTATCTCTATAGTTTGACTTTTCACACTTCAGTCTTTGAATTGACTTCAGGGTGTATCTGAGTTAGGAGGCTATTTTCAGTTTTTCCACTTTCAAATAGATGCAAATTCAAGTCTACTGAATCAATACTTTCCTCCAGTGATTTGCAGAGTCAGCTCTGGCTTGGGTAATATATTCCTCATCACTTGGATTTATTTTTCCGCTTTCTATTTCATTTCTCATCATTGATTTGTCTTTTGGTTTTGGTTTTTGAGTCACACCCAGCTGTGCTCAGGACTTCCTCCTGGTTCTGCACTGAGGGATCATTTTGGCTGTGCTCAGGGGACCATGTAGGATTTTGGAGTTCAAGGTAAGTCTGTAACTGTACAAACCTGGGTTGGCCACAAGCAAGGCAAGCACCTACCCGGCTATACTATTTCTCTGGCTGCTTTATTTGTATTTTTTTACATGAAACTATAACCAAACTCTTTAAATTACTATCATTTTGAAAAATAGTGTTCTGGGGGGCCCACAGCCAGCAGTGCCCAGGGACTATACTCCTTGTGGTTCCGAGTGGAGTGTGGTGTGGGGAATGAACCCAGGCTTCCTCAAAAACCCCTATCTCTCTGGCTTCTCAAAAACATTTTTATTGAGATATAATTACCATATCATAAAATCCACCCATTTAAAGTAGACAACTCAGTGCTTTCAGTATAATCACAGAGTTGGGTAACTCATCACAATTCAAATTTAGAATAGTTCATCACCCCACAAGAAAGCTCACCCCCTTAACTTTCCATTCCCCTTGCCCTCCCAGCATCTGGCAACCCGTTGCCTACTTTTAGTCTCTGTAGATTTGCCCTTCTAGTCATTTTAAATAAAAAGAATTACTCAATATATTCTCCCCTTGGCTGGCTTCTTTCACTTTACATACTATTTTTAAGGAACAGCCACAATGCATGTATTAATCCCTTTTTATGATGGAGGAATATCCTATGGTCTGGAGACACCACATTTGGTTTATCCAGTCAATATTGATGGACATTTGAATTTTGCTTTTTGGTTTTTGTAAATAATACTGCTATATAGAGAGCCCATGGAATGGGAAAGAATATTTACCCAATACCCATCTGATAAGGGGTTGATATCCAGGATATATAAGACACTAGTAGAATTGTATAAGAAAAACACCTCCAACCCCTTCAAATAATGGGGAGAAGAAATGAACAGAAGTTTCCTCAAAAAAGAAATACAAATGATCAAAGGCACATGGAAAAATGCTCTACATTTTTCTACATCATCAGGGAGATGCAAATCAAAACAACAATGAGATGTCATCTTACACCACATCTTACACCATCAAAAAGAACAAGAACAACCAGTGCTGTCATGGATGTGGGGAGAAAGGGACTCTCTTTCATTGTTGGTGGGAATGCTAAATGGTCCAGCCTTTTGGGAAAACAATATGGGAATTCCTTAAAAAACTAGAAATTGAGCTTCCATATGACCCAGCAATACCACTCCTGGGAAAATATCCCGAGGGTGCAAAAAAGCACAGTAGAAATGATATCTGCACCTGTATGTTCATTGCAGCACTGTTCACAGTAGCCAGAATCTGGAAACAACCCGAGTGCCCGAAAACAGATGATTGATTAAAGAAACTTTGGTACATCTACATAATGGAATACTATGCAGCCGTTAGAAAAGATGAAGTCATGAAATTTGCTTATAAATGGATGGACATGGAGAGTATCATGCTAAATAAAATGAGTCAGAAAGAAAGAAACAGACAGAATGACTGCACTCATTTGTGGAATATAAACTATCATAATTTGAGACTAACACCCAAGGATGGTAGAGATAGGGCCAGGAAGATTGCCCATGGTTGGAAGCCTGCCTCATGAGCTGGGGGAGAAGGCAGCTGGGATAGAGAAGGGAATCACTAAGTCAATGATGGTTGGAGGGATCGCTCGGGATGGGAGATGTGTGTTGAAAGTAGATAAAGGACCAAACATGATGGCCTCTCATTATCTGTATTGCAAACCATAATGCCCAAAAGTAGAGAGAGAGTATGGGGAAAATTGTCTGCCATAGAGGCAGGGGGAGGGGTGGGAAGGGGGGGTAGGGATAATGGTGACATTGGTGGTGGAAAATGTACTCTGGTGGAGTGATGGGTGTTTTAGGGTTTTTTTTGGCTTTTTGGGGAACACTCGGTGATGCACAGGGGTTAATCCTGGCTAATGCACTCAGGAATTACACTTGGCAGTGCTTGGGGGACCATATGGGATGCTGGGAATCGAACCTGGATTGACCTCATGCAAGGCAAACGCCCTACCCTACCCGCTGTGCTATCACTCCAGCCCTGGGATGGGTGTTTGATTATTGTATGACTGAAACACAAACATGAAAGCTTTGTAAGCATAGCTCACGGTGATTCAATAAAAAAATTAGTTAATAAAAAATAATGATACTTCTATAAAGCATCTATATACAAGTTTTTGGCATATATGTATGCCTTCATTTCTCTTGAGAATATACCTAGGAACAGAATTTCTGGGTCATACAGTAACTTTATGTTTAACATTTTGACCAGCTGCCAGACTCTTTTCCAAAGCTGCCACTTGATTTTATTCCCCATCAGAAGTGCATGAGGGAACCAATTGCTTCATGTTCTTGCCAATCCCCACCTTCTTTTTGTTCCCCACACAGTATGTGCTGTGAAGCACTGTAGCAGTCCATTTATAATGAAAATGGGAGCTTTCCCTTCCATTCCTTTTCTTAGCTTTAAACAAAAATTATTTCTATTCGATTGTGGTAATAATGGCTTAGAACACAGAGTATATTTTGTATAAAATGTCCTCCTAAAACTCATTTTACATCTCTTGTAAAATGTATGTCACTATACCACATCCATCACCATCCACTAGGCTCCCCCCACCCCCGCCCCCTGTAACCTTGGTTCTGCGGTCAGAGGCCAAGGATTTGTTTTTCTTGGCTTTGTGTTTGTCCTTGCTGTGTTTCTTCATATCCCATATATGAGTGAACTCATCTGGTGTTTGCTTTTCCCCTTCTTTACTGTATGTCTTTTCGGTTATCAGCAATTTGGTGGTTGTAAAATGGTATCTTCTTGTGTTTTTGTTAGGTATTTCCCACACTAAGAATGTGGAGCATCATTTCAAGATCTTCCTGCCCATTTGGATATGATTTTTTAGAAATATCTATCAAATCCTTTGCCCATGTTAATTGGGTTATCGTTTTATTGTTAATTGGAAAGAGTTCTGGTATATTCTGGGTATAAATTCAATGACTTACTATCGTTTGAAAATAATCCTTCTGTTTTTTAGGGCAAGTCACCCATTTTGTTTTCCTTTAAGTGCATCTTGGCTTTCTTGGTCCTTTACAGTGTCTATATACTCCGTTTTTTGGGAAATTACCATGTGCTTAGAAATGTATTCCTGTTAACAGTTTCCTTTAAAACTTTGCTTAACATTTAACCTAATGGTAGCATCATGTTTTAGATAAATATCTTACAAGTATCTTTTATACCTTGTAAATAGCTTACAAATTTATTTATTTATTTATTTATTTATTTATTTTGCTTTTTGGGTCACACCTGGCGATGCATAGGGGTTACTCCTGGCTCTGCACTCAGGAGTTACTCCTGGCGCTGCTCAGGGGACCATATGGGATGCTGGGAATCAAACCTGGGTCGGCCTCGTGCAAGGCAAATGCC